GGGCTCCTGGCTCCGCGCGCCCACCACGATGAGCCGCCGAGCTGTCGCAGGTCGACACGTTTAACGTACTTTTGTTCGGGCACCATACGCCCCTGCCGTGTATACGCTCAAGTGTACGTATTTGCCAGTATACAGAAGACCATGCTGTATTTGTACGGAATCGGGTACGCTATCCCACAGCGGAACATTCCTACCCTAACGGCCAGAAACACGCACTACTACACAAATGATTTTTGGCGTGCACAAAATCCAACCGCCTCCTAAAATGTTGGGCTATTAACGGGGACGGTCATTTTTATTTACCGAGGCGGTTACGTTTCTCCGCCTCATAAAATCGATTTACGGAGGCGATCAAAATCCAACCGTGCCTCCTAAAATCAATTTACGGAGGCGGGCGTCTTAAGACAACCGCCTCCGAAAATGGACTATTTTCGGAGGCGGACGTCTTGTCTTAAGGCGCCCGCCTCCATAAATCTATTTTCGGAGGCGGATAAGTTATAAAGCTTGCCTCCGAAAAAGGCCGAGGCCCAACAGGCCCAGTGCGCAGCCCGATAGCCGTCTTCACATAAATAGAGGAAGTTAGGGTTTCTTCCTTCAGTCACTCTCTCTTCCTCTCCCTCTTCCTCCTTAGCCGAGAGCGACGCTCTCCCTCTAACTCCTCTGCGCCCCTTCCTCCCCCGCGCTCTCTCACCCTCAGCGCCTCCCTCACCTCTCCCTCTTCCCCATGGCAGCACCCACCCGACGCCCACCCCCGCGGTGGCTCTTCCCTCTCCCCCACAGCTGGCGTAGGACGCCCTCTCCTCTCCATCTCCCACACGGAGCTCGACCCGTGGCGCATCCTTCTCCCTCGAGCTCGTCCGGCGCACAGGAAGGCTGGATCCGGCCCTAGCGCGGGCGGATCTAGTGGCGGCCAGCTCCACCTCGACAGATCCGACCCCGGCGCGGGCAGATTTTGGTTAGCCATACTATAGCTATACCCCCGAGACATCTCCACACCTTGATTGGGATATCATGAGGGCCCATCGCTTTGCCCCCTTTCATCATTTTCAAGGCTTCTCTGACCTCCGATTCTTAAATCATTCGCACAAAGCGCCTGTTAGTGTCATCAAATGAGTTGTCCAGCTGAACGGTGATGTTCTCGTTCTCACCATTGAATAATTTATCAAAATACTTTTGTCATCTATGTCTGATCTCATCCTCCTTTGCCAAGAGCTGCTCCCTCTCATCCTTTATGCACTTAACTTGGTTGAAGTCCCTTGTCTTCCTATCGCGAGCCCTAGCCATCCTATAAATGTTCTTCTCTCCTTTCTTCGTACGCAAACATCGGTAAAGGTCCTCATAGGCCTGCTCCTTTGCCTTACTCACCGCTCGTTTTGCAGTCTTCTTTGTCACCTTGTATGTTTCTATGTTGTTTGCACACTGTTGTCATGATACAAGCGATTATAACACTATTTTTTTTCTTAATAGCCTTTTGCACATTTTCATTCCACCACCAAGTGTCTTTCGAGTCGCATCCGCTCTCTTTTGTCACTCAAGCACCTCTGAAGCAACCTTCCGAACGCATGTTGCCATCTTCTCCCACATGTTGTTTGCATCGCCTTCATCATTTTAAAGGCCCTCTTCAATGACTTTTTCCTTAAAGACCTTTGATGCCTCTTCTTCTAATTTTAATCACTTTGTTATAGCAACCCTAGCTTGTTTGTTCCCACGAGCTTGCACCAGAAAGCGAAAGTCAGCCACCACCAGCTTGTGTTGAGCAACCACAATTCTCCAGGTATCACTTACAGTCTACACATGTTCGTTTATCCCTCCTTCTTATATAGACAAAGTCAATTTGACTAGAGTACTGGCCGCTACTAAAGGTCACTAAATGGAACTGTCTCTTACGGAAGAAAGTGTTAGCTATCATCAGATTAAAAGCTATGGCGAAGTCTAAGACTTTCTGTCCCTCCTGATTCCTACTACCGTATCCGAAACCCACATGAACCGCATCGAAACCTGCACTTGATGTACCTACATGGCCATTAAGATCATCTCCTATAAAGAGCTTCTCGCTACCAGGGACAGCTCTAACCAAGCGATCTAAGTCTTCCTAGAAATTCCGCTTAGCACTCTCATCATGGCCTACTTGGGGACATACGCACTAATTACGTTTAAGACTATATCACTAATGACAAGTTCAACTAAGATAATCCTATCCCCTTGCCTTCTCATCTCCACCACACCATCTTTGAGGCTCTTATCAATCAAAACTCCTACTCTATTTTTATTTGAAGTTGTCCCTGTATACCAGAGCTTGAAGCCGGTATTGTCCACCTCCTTCGCCTTGTGCCCCTTCCATTTGGTCTCTTGGACGCATAAGATATTTACACGCCTTCTAACCACTGTGTCTACTAACTCTCTTAACTTACCTGTAAGGGACCCTACATTTCAGCTACCTAAACGGATCATAGTTGGCTCGACTAGCTTCCTTACCCTTTGCACCCGTTGAGGTAGGTGTGAAGACCCTTACTCATTTTGCACCACACTCGGGCGCCGATGTGGCGCGCCACTAAAGATGTGACGACCCGATCCTTGCTCATTTGACATCGTGTCCAGATCGCGACACGGCGCGTCACGAGGGTGACGACCCGACCCTTGCTCATTTAACATCATACCTGGGTTCCGACATGGCGCGTCGCTAAGAGGGTTACGCCCCAACGGTGAAATATGAAACAATGTACTAGAAAAAAAAACCGTAATGCTGCTAAGAGAATCTATCAGGAGGTATCTAATTTTCTTCACCTTTCCTTTTGCACTATTATTACTCCTTGACACTTGGCCTGTCGCTTTTATAATGCTCGATTGATTTACTATGCAACTTTTGTTTTCAGTGTTTGCGCAAAAAAACAAAAGATTGTTCTCAATGAAAAGTATGAAGTTCTTGCAAAGCATAAAGCGTTGATTTTGTTGGGGGAGACACTATTGCTTTCAACCATTTATGAACCTCTAAAGCTCGCTCTGAAGAATATGGGGATCGTCTAGAAGGAACTGACACAATCTGGCATACATAAGTTACTTGAGCTACTCGGTTAAATATTCATCTTGAAATTGGCAGGCTCTTTTACCCCCCTCTGAGCTGGTTCGACACTTATGCATGCAGGCTTCAGGCTACTTTAGTTGTGCAGTTCAAACCACACTACATAGCTGTTGGATCGCTATACTTATCTGCCAAATTTCATGACGCCAAACTTCCTTCCCAGAATATCATAATATGGTGGCACGAGTTCGGTGTTGCTCAAAATCTGTTGAAAGGCACATGACAAATGAAGTTTCTTTCTGTCACTCACTGAACTATATCAATTTATTTATATCTCAGTACCATCACTTTCCTGTCATGTCTGACTATAAGAAACATTTGCAGTTCTGTAGCAAATGACTAAGTTATTTAAGAAAAAAGCCCCATGCTCCATGGGTCCAGTTATCAAACCAGTACCAACTTCAAGAGTGATGGATAAACACCAGATCAGGCCGACTCCAACTCCAACTCCAATGAATAAGCATCAGATCAAGCATATTCCAACTACAACCACAACTCCAATGGATAGACATCAGATCAAGTCGATTTCAACTCCAATTTGAGTACATCTACTGATGCAAATGAGGGCACCTGTATGCCCCAATAAATTTTATCTTTCTGCCACTCTAGATGTTTATTATGTCATGTTAATGTTTTCTTATCCATATTATATTTGACTGATGTCGGTTTAGAATTTATTGTTTCTTTGAGTTAATATGACCTTATCATTTCATATATCTTGCTGAAGTTGGTTTGTTAATTTACTTTTGAAATTAGTGGATGATTATTCAAGAAACTATTATAGATAACTTAAAAGAGGAGTTAAAATTGGTTCTGAGGAAAAGCATCTAAATATTACTGTAGACACGTTGAATGGTGAGCAAAGGTCTGATTTCAATGAAATATTGATAATTTCAATCCAGTTAGTATGATGACAATATTCTTGCCTTGATGGTTTGCATTGTTACAAAAACAAACTAAAAATTGAATTTTATTTTATTCTTTTTTAAATAGATATTTGTATGGACACCTGCGTGCGTGCACGTGCATGTCTACTAGTTTATTTAAAATATAATTAAAAATTATATTTTAAAAAAAGGGAAATCAGAAAAGGGCATGGAGAAGTCGGATGGCATAGTTACCAATGCCATGGCAGCTAGCACCTACCTTTTTCTCTAATCGGGGTTTATATTTTTTTTGGATTTTACTACTAGATATATATGCCCGTCGTTGTACCGGAGCCACGATTTTTTTATTAAACCTCAGTAATCAGACGCGGACACGTGAGCTCCGAGAACTTTGTGTCAGACACAGACACACTTCATATCGGTACCGAGTAGGATACGTGACGTGAGCTCCGAGGACTTCGTATCATACATGGACACGTGAATCCAATCTTAGTATGGGAACCGGGTAGGACGTGAAAACGTGAGCTCTAAGTGGAGGACAGTTCGCATCGGACATGGATGCGTGAGCAGGGACCGAGATTTGTTATTACCGGGTTGATGAAGACGTTAGTCTTTTTAGGTGTAGAGATTTGCCTGTTGTTGTTTTGGAAGCGGTTTATGAGGCTGAAGCAACAACACAACAATAAAAAAAAAAATATACACCTTATTTCTTTCAAATATTTTTTTAAAAAAGCACACCTTATCAAGGGAAATCAACAAAGGGCATGGAAAAGTCTGATGACATAATAGTTGCCATGTGAGAGCGAGGCTGCTTTATGACTTGGCATAAAAGAGGGAAGAAGGGTTTAGCACTTTAGCTCTCAAATTGTGATGACTCCACTCCATCACTGCATACGAGTAGATCATGATGGAGAAATCACAATGTTCCATCCAGTCCCATACTGGATCTGACTTTTCTTTTTCCCTTTCTTGTTATTAAATATAGATGGATCTAACTTTTTTTTTTACTAATGCATACTAGTACATGCAGATAGTTATTTTTTGTCCGTAGCATTAACCATCGCATGCTGCAATCCTTGACAGTCATATATAGCACTAACGTAAGCATCACATGCTGCAGCCCTCATGCCATTGCCAATTTGCCATGGGCTCATCGTCGCAGCCAGTCTTGGCCTGTTGAGGATACAGCAGCCCCACACCAGCTTCTGCAGAGGAGATCACAGCAGTAGGTTTAACCATTCTCATCAAGGCTGTCTTACCCCCGTTTCGAGTTTTTTTTAAAAGTTAGTAGTAACCTGTTGAGTAAGCCTCTGTACAAAACTATCGTAGGACCAACAAACAGACAGGTACAATTTGTGATGAATGAGCAGCTGCCGCTGCCTGAAGATGTTTTTCCCTGTCTCTGGCCCATTTGTCTTTGGAGTTTGGACACGTTTGTAGCTTGGGGCCAACGGTCAAACAGTGCACATGTATGACTGCAAGGCATGTAGTGCATTTCAAGTCCTCATCTCATCACATGGAAACCATAACCTACACTCCTACAGTAACTTTGCCAGATTAAGATTGAGCACGTGTGCTGTGACTCCTAAGTAGAGTATAATGGTTGCCGGTGTAAATCCAAGCCAAAACCTATTGCCACTTTGAAGCAAACTTGGTCCAGATGTAAAACAGAGGTAGATTGATTTGACGAGTGTCTCACAACATCCATGCAGTTCAACCAAACCTAACGCTCCAAGCCTCCAACCTACATGATGTAGTCCGTAGCTGACAATATCGAGACAGAGTTTGAAAACAATCTAGTTTCTCACAAATTGATACACTAGAATACCAAGCAGTTTCCAATAGCAAAGTATCATTGCTTTCCAATCTGCACGTCACTACAGGATATAAACCAAAATATTAACAACTGCTGCACCGTGTTGCAATTCAAGATATGGTACCCCGATTGTATAACTCGTCTCTGACTTACTGATGAACAAATTCAAGTCCAATGTCAAAACAAACATTAGTTTCAGAACTGCCAAGGGCGAACATATTTATCCACGGTTACTTTGCTTTTCAACAAACCCATGCCTGGGTCTATACTCTCACACAGACTCGATTTATGCACTGATTCGAGGGGTTATTATACATTAATACAGCTCCGATGGCATGACTCTCTCCCGGTCGAGAAACAACTTGACAGAGTAAGTCCATGGCTACTGGAGCTAGAAACTCTCGTCCCTTTGGAACAGTATGGAGCCAATCATAACTGCTATTCCAGTGACAGCAATTGTGAAGAGGAGCCGCTTGTGTGGTGAAGCATGAGCAGGACGTGCTGGTCGTGCCGGTCGCACTGGTGGCGGCGGTCGTAGTTCTCTCTCTGGAATTGCTCTGGCACTTTAAAAACATAAATCCGATTAACACTGAACTTATACAAGATTTGGCATCTAACTTTCTTAAAAAAACCAAATATGAGATCATACTTAAACAATTTTGAGTACCGTTACCATCTTGATGAGGAAAAAAATGAACTTGGAAGCAGGAAGGCCTGGGTATTTGATTTGCGTAATGAATTTCAAGCATAATGAGTTCCATGGATTTGGTTTGGTACAGAAATATCTAGGTTCACTAGAAATATATTATTGCAGTATGTTTATATGTTGGATCATATCAATGTTATAAATATGAATGATAAAAAATTCTCAGTTCATGGAAAAGGATATCTGTTTATACCTGGATGTGTCTGCAGAACCATTTGAGTTTGTATGGCAGTGTGTTTCGTGCCCTATCAATTCACGCAATCTAACATACTTCCTGCATGTTTGGCAAAGTTCTGTTCGGTTTCCACATACATCCTTTATGGCAAAATAGTGTGATCAGATCATGTATAATAAATTTTCAAAATATACATAGTTTTACAGGAAGTAACAAATTATACCTGATGTTCATGGAGATCAACTGCAGGCAATTCAAACTCGCAATATTCACAAGCGACAATTCTTTGTGGGCACTTTTCACCTTTATGAAGATCCCAACTCTCACGTTCTATTGTTTCTTTGCAAAGGGAGCAATTGATCTGTATGCACGAAGGAAAATATATTTAATGCACTAAAATATAATTACCAAAACCAGATGTTCTAAATATCCTGGGCATAAAATGTAGTTTACTCCTCTTGTTCCTATATATTGGCATTATTTCACTAGCTCATAGTTTCAATTGCTCAATGTAACACAAAACAAAATGTTTGCAAATTGCAAGTATACGAAGCAGCTACCAAATTATCAAGGTGATAAGAAAAGGACCAGTGCCATAAATTGACTGTAATGTTGATTCTAACTCTGTAAATTCTGCAATAGTGCAATTAGCTTAAAAGATAGGCATGGTGCAATCATACATATGCTCCCATTTACTACGTCTATAGGAGATACAGATTTACAACATTATTGAAATGAAAACAAGTTTTGTCAATCATGCAAAGAGAGAGAGATTACGTATGCAAAGAGAGAAATATTACATGTCATGGATATCATAAGGAATCACACTTAAAACAATTGCAAACATACCGGGGCATGGTTTTCATCATAATGTTCATCCATAAGTTTCCTAGGAATCATTTCGCCACAGTGCTGGCACTTTTGGAGGTTACGGGCGCAATGTACAGAATGCAAGTCGATGTTCGAAGATGGGATCTCTCGCTGACTGATGAACATAAAAGATAAAGCAAATTAAGCGATACCTAACATCTGATCTGGCAATAAAAGTATGGCTGCTTGAGCTCATCAGACTACAGTTGGCCAGCAAGTAACAAGCTGCATAAAACTTGACTAACGACAGTAGTTGGGCATACCGTAGAATGAAAAAAATACCCGATCCAGAGGAAAATTATATCCTAGAGAGAATGGGAATATAAAGGGATTTAAGTGTGTTTAGATATCGATACCCTCTCCCATGACTGATTCGTTCTAATTTCTAACAATTAACGCTATGAAGAACAAACCATATTATCGTGGTGACCAGTAGGGATGAAAACGGATCGGATACGCACGGATATCACTAATATTACGTTTGTTTTCATATTTCTGTCCGGATTCGGATTCGAATACGGATAGTGTCAATCATGACGGATAGGATACGATTAGATATCGACATCATAAATATGCGATTTGAGTATTCAGATATGGATACGGTATCGGATGTTGAATATTCGGACTCGGATACGGACAGATTTGAATCTCTCTAAGGCCTTGTTTGGATGCACATGTATTGATCTCAATCCACATGTGTTGAAGTGGATTGGAGTGGAATTAAACCAAGTTCCATTCCATTCCACTCCAACATGTGGATTGAAGTAGATACACATGCATCCAAACAAGGCCTAAACGTATTCGGTCTCGAATACGGTCGGAAAATATCCGTACCATTTTCACCCATAGCGACCAGGTATAGGATCCCATAATTGGATGGCCATTAGCTAGTTCGTTAGCAAGTCCACCGGTTAACTGTACGACAGAATACCAGGTCTTGATCCTGCCTTCTATGTTGCAAACGTACTGCACATTGTGTTGAATACAAGTCAAGCATTTTGCAACCACCTACTCTTACAGAGTTACAATTTGTTCATCATTTGTATAAGTAATCAACAAATGAGCCCAAAAAAGAATAAACATGTGAACGTACATTGTCCTTACATTGGATAAAAAACGAATAACAGTGCAGTGCCTTGGCACCAATGATTAGGAAACATATCTCCCCTTTTTTTCTTCAACCAACAGTTGATTAGTCCATCTAAGGTTATTTCAACAATCTGTGCAGAAATACATATATCGCACAAGTCATCATTCACTCTGGTTTGTAATTTGTTTCGCTAGCTTGAAATGCAAAATATGGCAGATCTAGGCATAGTCATTAAGGGGGTGTTTGGTTTGAGGATCAACCCATCCTAGATGAGGTGGTGAATCATGAGTTCATTCCATGAATCTGGTGGAATCACCCAATTTCTCATGCTTGTACTGACTAATAATTAGCTTGAGGGATAAGGGATTGGTGGAGAATCTAACTCATTTTTTAGTGAGAAAAATGATGGACCACTCCATTCCTCAAACCAAACACACCATAAGAATAGGACGTCGCATATCCCTTCTAACTCCAAATATGGTGCTACGCCAATAACGTCATCAACATACTGATCACGCGGTACGGCGGATCAGAACCCAACAAACAGCGTCTTCCGTCACCATAGAAATCCTCCGCGTCGTCGACCGAACCGGGGTTCTCCCCAGCTCAGATCCAAGTCTACGAGATCAAGCGCATCACCGACACGGCGACGCGCGTGCACCAAGGAACCGGGAACCGGGAAGCGCGAGGGACAGAGAGAAGGAAAAAAAATCGGAGGCAAGAACGCACCAGTGGGCGCAGGTGGACATGGCGGCCACAGCTGCGGCGGGATCGGAGTCGGCGGCGGCCGCTGCCATGGCGCTTCCTGAAGGGCTCGCCTTGCCGCTTGGCCTGCGGCTCCCGATCAGATCGGCGACGGGGCGCTCCCCTCTCCCGTAGTCGAGACGCCGCGGCCGAGCAGAGGCAGGCTGCGGATGAGAAGGGGGCTCCGAGACGCAGGCGGGGGCGGGGGCGGGGGCGGAGACGCGGTCGTGCGAGGCGGAGTGATTGATCGGTGGGTACGGCAGCGAGAGAGAAATTATGGGAGGGCGAAACGGGTGGCCGCTCGCCGGGTCCGGTTGGGTAGATTAGGCGAGGAGGGGTCGGTCAGGCGTGGCGTGCTTCAGTTCTTCGCGTTTGCCGGCTGTAGCTACCAGTATGGATGAAAACGGATGGATATGACTGATATTATATTTGTTTTTTATTTTTATCTAGATTTGGATTCGAATACTTAATCATAACGGATATGATATGATTGGATATCGACATCATAAATATACGATTTGATTATTCGGATACGGATACGGTATCGGATATTCAATATCCGGACTCGGATACAGACAGATTTGAACTCCTCTAAACGGATTCGGTCTCGAATACGGTCGGAAAATATCCGTACCGTTTTCGCAACTACCAGCACGGACCTTCCCTTCTCTTCCCTTCCCCATGTCAAACATGCCAGATTTTTAGGGATTTAAATTATCTGCTTTTGAGGATTTTTTATCGAATTCATGATTTTCTTAGGCCAGTCTTTTCTCGAATACACAAAAGATTTGCGCATCTTTATATTAAGGTAGAAAAGTTTAAAACAAACAACGTGCTGCCTATGAGGTCTACAAAATTGCAGCCGTGGACTGGACCAACCTAGCAAACAAAAATAAATTTCGATATTACATAAATGGTAGACAACAAGATAAGACCAGCAGCACAACATAGGAAGAGGTCTTGCACTTCTGCTGCGGCCGACCCAACTCCTTGCCGCACTGGAAGAGCGCTTCCGGCGCTTCAACGTTGGAAGCGCTTGGCTCAGCCTCGTAGAGCGCCTTGTAGGACTTCTTCGCAGATTCACTTGTCAATGACGAACCTGTGACCGAACCCAATCGCTGCATGATTAGGATCTCACCTCGCTTGGATACTGGAGAGGCTTTGAGCCGCTAGACGCTTGCTCCGCCACGGTAGCACCGTCTTTGCAGGCGGTGGCTTTGGTGGCTCATGAATCAACGGGGAGGCTCTCTTACGCACCACTTTCTTGGTGAAATTGTCGAGGCGGCGCTTGAAGGAGGCGTTGTGGTCCACGGTCTGCGTATCCCCAGGCATCGTACTGGGAAGGCCATCATCCGACGTGAGGTCGACCGGACCGAAGCCAGGCGGCATGTCCTCCTCCTTTCATGGATGCATCAATGTTCGCGTTGGCGTTCTGCACCAGCTGCATCGGCGTAACCTGTGACTGCCCCTGCTAAGTGGACGTCGAGGGGGAATCCGCTGCCCACCGAGTAGAGCGGGGAGGTGGCGTCTACAGCTCCAAGCCGGCATGCTGGGACGCATGGGCGGATCTGTATAGAGAATTGTGGGTGCACCCGCATCCACAAAAAACGAAAAATAGTGATAATGTTCAAATTTTCACCATATTCGCACCCCCATGATAAAAGTTTACGCACCCACATGGCAAGCGCACCCCCTCGAATTAGCTCTAACTCCGTCCCTGCTGGGACGTCTGCTGTCCACAGTTGCAGTCGTAAGTCACCACCGTAGTGGCCCCATCCTCCAGCTGGGTGGCCGCCGGAGTAGAAGCCGGTGGAGGGCAAGTGACGATCTAACTGGCGATGATTGAGGCTGCAAACTCCTCCATCATCGGGTCCTCCGCGATGTCACGACCCGGGAGCATGTCGTGAGGACACATGATCAGCGTCAACGGGTCGAGCCCAAGAAGGCGCGTCCCGTTGGCCGGCTTGCTGCGGTCGACTACAGCGTCGCTGGAGGAGTTAGTGGTGCCTAGTCCCGTCCGGCTCCGGCTCCTCCTACGCCGACGCTGACGCTCTCGGCTGGCAGGCGTAGCAGCAGTCGGTCGAGGCACAGCTCCACACGACTCCGCCGGACCGGTGTGGGCTGTGGGCTGGGTGCCCGAGGCACAGTCACAGGCAAGTGGCCGGCCGCTGGTGCCACCAGGTGTGGTGGAACTGGTAGGAGGCACCCTCCGTCACCGCTTGCAGTTGCGCGTGATGCCGGAACCCCCTACAGCGTAGGCATCGTGGAGGTAGCATGCAGGTTGCCACCGTGTGGGAGGAGGAGAGACAGTTGAAGCACTTACTGTGATAGGACCTCGATGAGCCACCGAAGGTGCAGGCCTCGTAGGGCGTGCCCCCGTCGTGCCGCCCGGCCCCGTGATAGGACCTCACGCTAGCCGTCAGCGTCCGAAGCGAAAACGTGCTTGCGAGCGCCGAAGCGCAGACCGAGTCGCTGGTGGACTGGCAAACGCCACGGGCGATGACTTTCGGCTTCTGCATCCTTGCCACAGCCCATGAATGAGCCATGGGCGTGGCTGACGATTCTTGTTGCGCCCGCTCCGCCTGCCGGCACCCGCTTGAACGGCTACATCGCCGCAAGCGCCAGCAACAATGGGGCGGGCTCCCGTAGGCAACGGCGATGTCCTCGGCGGCTGTGACTCACGGAGAACCGTGTCATGGTAGAGGGTTGGGGAGGAGGCCGGTGACGTTTTCGCATCGGAGTCATCGAGGAGGTCGTCATCTGCCCATCGACGAGCCTTGGAGTGCTCCGCCGACCCCACCGGGTGGAAGGGGCGGAAGGGGGAGAGGGAGGGCGACTGCCCTGGAACTGGGCTCGCGGCCACAGTCCCGGGCATGGGCGAGGGACCCTTGCCCTGTGGCGGTGGCTGTGCGATGGACTGGCTATCACGGTCGTCGGTGGCGCCAGATTCGGTCCCCATGCTCGGCCACAGGATGGCAGCGGCAACTTCTCCCACCTCCGGTGATAGAGTGTCGGCGGCAGTGGGGTGGGAGGTGGGGAGGTGGCGGAGGGGGCGGCGCAACGCTAGAGGAGGACGTAGGCGGCGGTGCCGGCTATGTGGCGCCCACCCTAGCGTTGGTGGAGGCCGTGGGCTGCTGGGCGGCGGGAACCCCAGCGCCTGCTGCCGCGGGCCGCCAGATGCGGTGGCCGTGGATGGCCGGGCGCCCGCCCCGGCTGCCCCTGGCTCCGGCGGTTGAAGGTCAGCGAAGGGGCCTAACACAGGCAGCGGAGCCACGCTCTCACGAGCAGGTCAGGAGTGGAGAGGGGATGCAAAGCAGGGAGGGGAGGGGGAGGGGTTGGGCGGCAACTGCGGTGGTGGGGAGGGAGCCAAAGGCGGCTCCAAGGGTTTGGGTCGCTGAGGATTGGGTTGAGATCGGTTTGTTTCAGCTCTCTCTTAGGCGAGTTTCATCAGAGTTTCATAATGTGGTACCACTCATCAATTAATGAAAGTCATAGGTACCACCAACAGAGGCATATGTGGTTTGTGGTGGTATATGTTGTTGTTAGTCTAAACATGTATGTGATGAGGTATAAGACTCTTGTTGTTAGACAACACTATTCTTTTTTTTCTATGCAACATGCATATCATTTTTTAAAAATTTTGACGAGATATTTCGTAGTCTTGTTTCCAAAAAAGTGATTTAGTTTTTTTATGGGTGAAAAGGTATACGGTTCTAACAACCTATTTAAAACATTCAAGATGCCGTTAGTTTTTCATTTGAATGGAAAATATTTGTGAGCATTTTTTTTGAAAAAAACTAATGACGTCTCCAAACCTTGAGGATATTAAACCGACCAAACAATTTGCTTGAAGCAAATTTACAGCCAATGGTAATATACTGAATGAAATGTCTGAATGAAAGAGATTCACTAGAAAATAATCAATAGCCTGTTCGCTTGCTCGTATACGATCGTAGATTATAAGCTGGAATAGTATTTTTCTCTCATACCAAACCAGCCAGCAGTAAATAATCCACGATCGTTTATGGGATGCCGAACAGGCTGCAAGTCTTTGACCATCAGGTAGAAATCAAGAAGACAACTTGGTAACTCGTTGCCTCCTTTTGTACACACTCAGCGGCTCCGTTGTCTCGATGTAGGCGAAGGTCCGAAGGTAGTAGTAGCCGTCCTTGCAGTAGGCCACCACCGTTTCCAGCCCCGGCCCTGGGGGGTTCGAGCTGTGCCCACGCATAGGGCCCTTGAAGCCTAGGGGCCTAATCCCAGGTATGTAAGCTATAGTTGGCCCATAAGAAATAACAAGCGCGTAAGAAAGAGTCCGTCGATTTCCCTTCCGTCACAGCCGCTCTCCTCATCGCTGCGCCTTCGCTCCGCCGTCCGACATCGCCGTCGCCGATCTGGCTACTCCGTTCGCTCGTTCCGTAACTCCACTCCCAACCAAGCGAGTATGACACTACGACTATACGAGACGTCCTTACGCCCAGACGTGTTCAGGTAAAGTGTCATGTCCAATTGCCCCTGTTCCCTTAATCCCTTTGTTGATTGTTTAATCAATGTTTAATTTGTCTAATTGCTTTTGCCCCTTGTCATTATTCTTTAGAATAGAATATATAAGACTCGGATTCTAATTTGGGATTGGGGAATCCCTAACAGTGCAGGGCAGTGAATAATTATTATCCTTGTTCTCCACTTGTCTCTCGCCAAAAAAAATACTTGGTACTTTACTAACACTTATTTTTATTTTAACGTTAAACTGAATCTAGTATTATTTCTAAATTTCCAGTGTCCTCGTGTTGCCAAAAGGCATGCATTTATATAGAAGTGAAAAAAATAGAGATGGATAGAATTTTTATGTATATTATTATAATTAAAATGAAGGCCCATTTTCCAAGCTTCGCTCCAGGCCTATAAATTGAAGGGACCAGGACTGACCGTTATCTCGTCCCTGATCCGCAAGGACCTCACCTCGCCGCTCTGCAACCTCCCCGCCGCGTCATGCATCCGTGCGCGTACAAGTGGTGCTTCAGGCTGTGCTCCAGCGCCCTCACGGTGAGCACGTGATTGCCCGCGCTGGCGCTGGTCGCGGACGGGAGGCGCTGCACACCCCCGCCGCACTCCTGACGCCAGACTTCGCCGCTCCACCCTAACTGCCGGCCGAGAACCCAAATGTCGGTCTTCGCCGGCGCCCATCTGTCGGCGTAGACGGCGAGCCCCAGCCGCCCGCGGACCTCCATTAGACGGAGGACGTAGCCAGGCCCGCCCTCCACCGGCAGCGGCGGAGCGAACGCGACGTGCTCGTCCTCGTGGTCGAACGACACGACCCTCTCGGCGCCCTTGGTGACCCAATACGTGGCGCCGTCGACGGGGACGAGGCCGGCGTCGACGCTGCACGTCGCGGTAGCGCCACCGGGGAACGAGACCGGGACGTCGCGCCACGCCTGTGAGGGGTCCCCCAGCGTGAACACCTACAGCGCGGTGAAGCCGCCAGTCACGTCGGCGCGGCACGGGAGGTGCAGCACCGCCCCGTCATCGGGTGGAACCCGAAGCTGTACTCCTCCCCGCTGCTGTAGGTACTGTGGGAGTAGGAGACGGGCGGCGGCGGGACACGCAGCGTCTCGCGGGTGGCTGGGTTGAGCAGCAAGATGGCGTCGCCGGGCCTGGTGCCGTCGCACAGGCACAGCAGCCCGTTGCACTGCCGACCATGGTCACGCGCCTGCGGTCGTCTCTGGCGTTGGGGTCGGCGTTGACTCCCCACACCTTCCTACACGGACCAGTGGCGATGTCGGCGTCGATGACGTAGGCTGAGGCGGACGTGATGCCAGTGAAGCACGCGGGCACCGCGGGCTTGCTCTGCGGCGGTGTCCGCCCGTCGATGACGGCACGCCAGTGCCGGCACACGAGGCGGACCATGCGCCGACAGCTCGGAGGTAGGTGCAACAAGATCTCCGTGAAGGAGTCCGTGGGGAGGCTCCACCATGTGGTGCCCTCGTCCGTTGCGGCTGTAGGTTCGCAGTCGCTAGGCGATGCCGACACCACCGCTGTCGTTGCCATTATTGGGAATGCACATAATCTGATGCTTCCATCTCTGTCAGGTCAGCACAACTGTCCTCTCCTGGTCTAGGAGATGGAACTGATCGTCTCGACTGATCACTCACTGAGCAGTGAGACGAGCAATGATGCGGTAGGTAGAAATGGCTTACTTCAGCCATGTAGCGTAGAGATGGATAAGCTAATTCTTGTACCTTAGGAGTAGGTAGGTGGTGTACTCACCAACAACTATGTACCTAGTAGAGGTAAAACTAGAGTTGTATATATTTTATCCAAAGACAATGGAAAAACTCAGTTCAGTTGCCACAAACATTCTGAAGCCAAGCTTCGGCCAACTCTGGGCTTCTAATGTGTGTGTGCTGTTCTCACCCCGTCTTCTACCTCTAGCCATAGTGAGCGAGAACGCCGGTGAGCGGTCAGCTCACCCGTGCGGGAGATCTCGAGACCAACAAGTGGTATCAGAGCCAGACAAGCGCCGTCGCAGGACTAACCGCTGGCGATGACGGACGGTTCAGATATGGGCGATGTAACACCCCTGGTGTTACGAGCTTGTTTAGCACCGCGACTTAGGCCTAAGAAAAATTTCCGAAACGAGTTTCTCGGATTTTTGGATTTAAAACGTACTTGTCGTGATGAGGGAATCGTGTGTGACTTAGTTTTGTGAATTCAAATCAACGCCAAGTTAAATTATTCAGTGCGTAAAGATATTTAGGAATGTCAAACGACGATGCTAGCGAAACGTTTGTTATGTTAGATTAAGCATGAAAAATAACTTTTATAAATAAAATAAAATCTATTAATAAATAGAACGATATATATATATATACACACGGGTTTATTTTGATAAGCACAAACTGACAAGAGAGAGAGCGCAGCAGCTTCGTTTATTTTTACTGGCATACAGCTTTCTCGTTGCATGGCATTTATTCACCGTCTCGTTCTCGCCGTGGCTCTGCATTTCTCTGCATTACAAAGCCTCCCATCCAGTCGCATCTAACTGGTCCACTGAGCTAGACATCTGAAATTGGTGCATGAGGTTCTGCCCCTGCCCTCGTCGTGTCTTTTCACGTCTGTGCGTGTGCAGTGGCGCGGTGATGGCCACACTACGTCTTACCGCTCTGTCTCTGTTGTCCCGTCGTGCTGCCCTCGCTGGCACTGCCCTACGCACGCCTTGGCCGGCCGCCTACGTGTGTTTGCTTCCTCGTCTCTCCTTTTTCTGCTGTCGTGGTGGATGCGCCATCCCCTAGGTCGCCCTGCCTCTGCTTCTTGATTACGCCTGTCTGCTACACTCATGCTTAAGCCAAAGACCAAGCTGTGCCGTCCTCCCACGCCTCCCCCGTGCAGCCCCCAGTGCCCCCCGTCGGCGTGACTCCTTCGCTGGCCGCCGTGTCCGGTCCCTTTTCCCCTCCTCGCGCGTGCAGGCGCACCCGTGCCACCGGCGCCCTTCCTCTTCCCTCTGCGCTGCGTCCACGCCAGGGCCGTCCGACGCCGGTGCCGTCCCTTCCCGTAAGAGTCCCCATGGACGCTCGGGACTGCTGCCTCACCCAGGATCCACGCCGCTCCTTCCTTCTCTACGTTGGACTATAGCTCGCAGCGCTGCGGCTGCCGTGCCTCGCCCGGACCCACGCCGCTCCACCGTAGAGCACCACGCCATTGCCCTACGGCCCGCCTCCCTCCGCCGTCGCGTGTGAGCGCGAGCGCGCGCGCCCCACGACCGCGTTGGGCCTCCGTCTCCTCGGTGTTGCCCCTTTCCACAGCGCCATGGCCGCTTCCACCGCCCCTACCATGCACGAGCCCTCGGCCCCGCACCGAACCTGATGCTCCATGGCGTCTCCTTCATCGTCGTTCGAGCTGGGCCACACCCCTGTTGCCGATGTCGTCGCGAGCTCCGTCTCCCCGAGCCCACTCGGCTGTAGCGTCACCATGCCGTGCCCGTTCGGCACCCCGGCGTCCACGTAGCTTTACCTCATTGTGCTGCCCCACTGTGGCCGGAGCCGCTGGCACTTCCCTGTGCCGCCTTGCTTCACCTCCGCCGCCGGCGAGCCGCCGAATGGGCCGACGGATTGATTCCCCATCCGTGCTATGTTTTGGAGATGAAGAGAGGGACCCCGGGGTAAGGAATGAGCAATTCCAGGGTTCTTATTGCAAATTACGTGACCCATATGAACAGTAGTGTACTAATTAAGGAGAAGCGCAGGGTTGTTTTGCATAATCGCTTGGCCGGTTGGGCAGGCCGCGCGTGAGCCAACTTGTTGGGCCGCCACGCCTGGGTCGCCCGTGCCGCGCGCTGGGCAGGCCTGCTCGGCGCCCCACCTAGGCCGTACGCCCCACCTGCCTGGGCCGCTCGTTGGTCTGGCTCGCTGTGAGCGCCTAGGCCGTGCGTCCGCTAGACCGAATAGATGGGCGCTGGCCCATTTAGTTTTATAAAGCAAGTGTTAATTAGTTTCAGGAAAAAACTTGTAAAATTCATAGTAAATCATAGAAAAATCATAAAAATGCCAAACCAGTTTTGCTTAGTTGCTAAAATCATGATCCACCTGCTAGTACAATTTGTTCACATAGTTGGATAATATTCTTAGGAACTATATAATTAATTTGGGATACTTAATATTGTAAAAATATAAATTTATAGGAATTGTTGTGATAAATTGGTAATAGTATTGGATCTGAAATTTTTACAGTAGGTTCCTAGCAATATTAGCTGCTCACTGTAATTTTTGTAGCTCTAGAATAATTAGTTTGCTTGATAGATAATGATGCCCTATTTTGAGTAAAGATTAAATCGATGGGATAAAATAAAGAAACAACTTGGGTTTATATAACTAAATTATTTGTTGGAAAATACGCCTTATTCGACAACATGGATACACAGACCAGCATTCAAGGTATCTCATTAGCTTGTGAGGCATGACGGATTTCTAAGCATTTCGGTTGTCGTTGATTATTTACATCTATGCATTTGCATCAATGCATATCATATAGGTACGATGATGGATCAACGGACCAATTGAAGGATGATTGGGAGTCCGAAGATGATGTATTGGTATCCTCTCCAGGAGATGATGCAATGGGCTTTCTATTCAAGTTGATGGTGGATGATCCCACTTGCAACATGCTTTATCCTATGAGTATGGATACTAACTTTTTTAATATAAATCTTACCAAATATGAACACTTAAGCCCTCAAATATCCGTAATTTTTTTGGATACGGATAATAAAACGGATATCTTAGGCGGATATCCCGGATATCATCGATATCCCGGATATCGGATACTTTAAGTATCGGATATATCGTACTTTAAATTATATTTGTGCTTAAGTTTAAGACGTTGAATGAAACCCACTTGCATATATATATATATATATATATATATATTTAAACCGTCTTTATCCTATGAGTCTTACTAGTATGATCTCAAATGATCGTGTTGTAGATTTGAACATGCTATATGACTTTAGAGTTCATAATACTAGAGTCAAAATGTAGAAAATCTTGGTCAAACTTGCCTATCACTTGTGAGATATAGATCTAAATATATTAGAAAGTTTTATCAAACACTAGTCATTATGATCCCTTGGAATATATAAATGGTGGAAAGGAAAATATGGTGACCATCTTGATGAGGCAAACTTGGTAAAATGATTTGGGTATTGGTGGGTGTAAGAGGTTGTGTCGCTGTGGAAATTTTAACGCAAGACATGGCTTGGTTACAATAATTGCTTTCCTTGGTATTCAAAACTTTTCAATTTGAAGTGTTAGTTATGGACAGGTGTTGTTGCATTTGAAAATTTGCCATCACTAAATGAGGCAAGTCACAGATTTATTATCCTGAGCACATACTTGTTACATAGTCATTTTCCCATGTTGAAGACTTGTTGCTCTCTTATCGTGGATCCGAACTCTTTTGTTCTTTCTCAAATGAAAAACTGCCTTGGTGGTTTTGGGTTAGGAAGTCTTTGCACTAGGTTCCGAAAACTAGTTTGTAAGCATCGAAAATCCAAATTTGAACTCCAAACTATCTCAAATGGAAAGTTGACCAAAACAATAATTGAGACCCTTGGTATTCAAAACTTTTCAATTTGAATGGGGACCTAGACACCCGACCAATTTTGACTTGGTCAAACTTGCTCAAATGAGGGTGATGGGTTGGTCATCTCAGCAAGATCTACAATTGTTACATAGCTCATTTTCCCATTTGAGAAAGTTTTAAAACACTAGGCGAATGTTTTTTGTGGGTTCAAACTTTATCAAATGACCCTATATAAGGATTATAGATCTTGAATCCATGACCATGGGGACATTAGTTCATGAATCGCCGATGAGTCAATGATGTTTGATGTATGATGTTGTCTTGTGCCTAGCACCGTAATCTAATGGATTATGGAAGAATAAAAATGATGGAAAAAGGAAATCGATTGCTTACCACCTTGCTTGAAAGTAGCATAGGTGCTTATCCGTAGAATGGTTAGTTAATGAACCAATATGACTATTAATAAAAAACGAATATAAGGATCCGCCATCCCTACCTATGAGTCTTACTACTATGACGCTTAGTAATGTTTCTTGCGTGAGATGCAATAAACCCACAAGCGCATAAAGCCATCGAGGCAAGATAGCCTCACATATCCTTAGAGTCTTTTCTTTCCTCCTCCGGGACTCGGGTAAGTCTTCTTTGAGTACAATTGAGTACTTAGGGTTTTATTCCCTTGTCTTTGCGTAGTGTAAAAGATGGAAAAAGGAAATGGATGCTAAACTTGAAAGTAGCATACTCTTGTGTGTGGATTCCTCTGGTGGGCTCGCTTAGAGGATTTCCCACAAGCAGATAGCTTCACATATCCTTAGCTGCGATCATAGTTTTTATTTATAACTCTCACCAAATGTTTTTATAAATGAAAGCTTTATAATCAGAGTTTTTATTTATAACTCTCACCAAATGTTTTTATAAATGAAAGCTTTATAATCGGTTGTCATAGCTTATATATCAATGCTTCATCATGCCTT